TTTACATAGCCTAAAATGTTTTATCAACACCAGACAACACATACCTTTTTTTATTAAGAAAAACGAATATTTACAATCTGTTCCTGTATAGAAAATACGCAATAAGTAATAGGTATATAATACCTATATATAATATATATTGTATAAAATTTACAAGGCTTGATGGCTTTCACCGTCCAGTAACACTACTTCAACTTGATTGGATTTTTATAGTGTGTTTGTTTTTTGTTGTTTTTTTTTAATTATTTGTTTAGTTCACGTGGCCAATTACGCTTGAAGCGATGTAGAGGATTATCCAGGAGAGTAATAGAAAAGAGATTTGATATAAGGGGATTTGAGTGAGCTAAAGTGTTAGAGTTTATTTTTTTATAGAAACTAGAAGCAAGCACAGAAAGAAAATAATATGAATTTTGAGATCGTTTTATCAACAATAAAAAAAAAAAAAATTTAAATGTCTATAAATAGATAAAGAGATTCAAAATATTTAAAAATTATGCTATCAATAGACAATTTTAATTAAAAAATTCTACCAAATAGATCCACTTTGCTACCAGAAAATATAAGAGTTGAAGATTGATGCATTTTTACTGCTCTAAACGGTGATGATAGACACAAAAACAATTATGCACCAATATAAATGACCTTATTTTTTTTGTGGTATCGACGACGTTGCCGAAACTTCTTGCGAATTACTTTGCCGCCATTGTTTATTAATTAATTAATGACATACAACAATTTACGAAACTCTCAGGAAGCTGGAGACGCCAATAATAGCCTAATATGCAGTAAAATATGCTTATGAAAACCATGTTTTAAAAAAATTTATATATATTTTTATACATGAATAGTGATGCGCCAATCATGGTGGCTGACCATTTTCCCTTTAATATTGAATCTATTGAAATTCTTGAAATTTTTGTAATATTTAAGGAGTGTCCTGCGATAAAACTTCAGCTGTTTTTTAAAATGAGCCCCCGTTTTTAATGTAAATTATCTAGTGAATATTTGTTTTGAAAATTTTAATGTAGGTACCTAATTCAAAATTCTAAAGAGTCGTTTTTGAGTTTTTCCAATTTTTATACTAATAAGTAATAATAATAATTATCCTTAAAAAAGGTTTTACATAACTTTAAAAATATATAATAATTGTGAACCTACCTAAAGTATTTATTACAGTTACTTATACCATTTAAGTCATTTAACTAATTATTAATGTTGATAAATGAACATTAATCACTAAAAATGTCAAATCAGTACCCACCACAGTCCCGTATCTTCCAAATCCATTACCATGGAATTATTATCCATAATACACAAATTTATATAATTCTCTAATCAAAATTATCTACTAAATACTTACAGTAAGGGGAGGGGGAGGGTTCTCATTTTAAAAACAGGAGTTTGTATCTCCACTGGATACTCCTTAAGTAGTACCTACTAAAGATAATCAAGAATTTGATAATGTGGTCATTAATCGCAAGCCTGGGCAAGTTAATGAAAATTTTTAACTGAGTTAAGTTAAGTTAATGGAAAACATTTTCAAAAGTTTAAAGTTAACAGTTAACCTAATTTTTTTTTTAACTCAGTTAAGTTAAAAGTTATATGAACATTTTCAATTAACTTATTAACTTAAGTTAAGTTAAGTTAATTTTTTTTTTTTTCATAATACAGTAAAACTTCCGTAAACGGTCACCTCTATGTAATGGTCAATTTTTTTGGTCCCGTCGAGTGTTATCCTACATCTGTAGGACGGTCACCTCTAAATAGCGGTCATTATTTACAGACCCTTTGGTGACCGTTACATGGAAGTTCTACTGTATCTATATAAACACCCAGTAATATGGTTTAAAATAATAAAAATCATAAATATTATTGAACACATGAAATAGCCAATAGCTTTTCTATACATAGGTAGGTACTGAATTAATAGAATAATTCTACCTACCCATAATTATTATATAGTAGGTACAAAATTCACACAAATCACTGAAACGCGGTATTGTAAATCCGAAATCGTGTGTTGCGTGCTGATAGAGCCGACTAGTCGAGAACGAAAAGTGAACCCATGTGGGCTATGAATATTTTGTCTACTGACAATATTGACTGTTTATAAATATAAACATTTGAAATATAAATGTACATGGGCACAACCCAATTAGTTTTAATTTAAAAATAACCTATTTATGCCGAAAATATTTTACATTATGTTCTTCAGAATTGTACATTTTTGATTTGTATCTATATCAAAATAATAAGATAATAGGTTTATCATTTTACTTATTAGTTATTAGTATTAATTAATTATTATTATTACAATATGCCCGTATGCCGCTGTATGGTACGGTATATCTTTATATATACGAATATACGATACACCTCTATGGTATATTGGTATAATATAATTGGCTATTGGCTATTGCATATTGTTAAATCTATATTATGTATTTAATCGAGATATTTTTCTTGAAGAATTCTGGTTAACGGAACGAGAAATTAATTTAACTATATTTGTAATTTCCTATTCTAATAAATGGTTATGTAATATCAATAATAATTTTTTTTTATTATATTTATTATTTAATTATTTATAAATTAACTTAACTTGAATTTGATTAAAAGTAACTCGTTATTTATTAAGTTTATATCAATTAAAATAAGTTAAGTTAAAAATTAAGTTAATGAAAATTAAATTTCAAAAAGTTAAGTTAAAAGTTAAAATTAACTTAACTTTTAACTTAACTTTTAACTTTTTAACGCGTTTATGCCCAGGCTTGATTAATCGTATATGTTTTTAAAAATTCCAAAAATCAGATTTTGAAGAACTTCATCATTAAAGAAAGGGGAGATAATATGTGTGTAACAAGTTACATCATTGTTTATTAAATTTATTCATTAAAAATAAATTATAATAAAATAATATTTTTGAGGGTAGACTTAACATTTTTAAGTATACTCTTAAAACGGTAAAATGTTGAAATATGCACAAATGTTCCTTAAAATAATTCGCGTTTTTAACCACACTTTCAAGTTATATGAAACATAGTTTGTGCTTACTTAACATTCAGTACGATCGATCAGTATTTTAATATTCAAATATTAAGGTAGGAGGTAGGTACCTACTTACAAATCAAAGCCATGATGATAATTATAATAATAATTAATAACAATCATAGTAGATTTCACCATTTCGGAGTAAACAGACAACGGTCAACGACAATAATTATTATTATTTACCGTGGCTCGTGAATACTAAATACGCGAACCCCGTAGATAATGTAGCTACCTGTTGATCGTTGTTGTCGTCATCGTAGACGTCTCGCCACACCTATACAGTACCTAGTACCTATCACCATTGATATTTGATTATATAAAACTAATTTTATAAATACTTACCAGCAGCTGTTGAGGAGTGTAGTACTGTGCGTCTGTGCCGGCGAGTGATCAAAGGGGGTGGGCACTTGGACATTTGACAAATACCTAACTTGCATATAATTATAATTATTGTATTTCTCAATTTTAGATCAGGAAACTTGCCCTGATAAAAATTTGAACACCACCCCCCCCCTACAAAATTCCTAAGAACGCCACTAATACTGTGGAAGTGTGGAGTAGTACCTACTATAAAAAATAGTACCTATATTCTATAATACAATATTGTACAGTACCTATTTACTATTTACTCAATACTACTACCTAGGTACTGTTGTATTAATTTACATAATATTATATTATTAATAACAACATTTATTAACAAGTTGTTATTATCATACAGTGGGTGACAAAAATCAAAATCGATTTTGCGAAAAAATGCACGTTTTTTGACAGACACAAAAAAAACACACATCGTTGTAAAATCAATACATTCATCGCTCTGCTCAGAATCTAAAATACAACTTTTTTAATAATTATGTAGGTTATATAAGGTAATAATAAAATTACCTTACAACAAAAAACAGTCATTTTACCTATACATTATAATAAAATAAGATGGTATAGAAATATTCATATAGATATCTATAATCTATAGTTTAAAAAGAAAGTACCTACCTTATAATAATTAAAATAAATAGATACTAAATAATAAAAAAAAACAAGTAGGTAGTAGGATTTCTTGATAATTTTTTTTGATTTAAAGAAAAATCACTGGATTATGAATTATGATGACAATAATGTCATAAATATACACAGAATATTTTAATCCAAGAACTTATTCCTTAATCTCGGAAATATCCTAATATACATAATATTAGGTGTAGACTACATAGACTATATAGGTATTGATTTAATTTTTAAACAATCATACCGTTTCAACTTCCAAGTCACATTAAAGTTTCAAGTCACCCAGCCACCCGTCCCGCCATCACGGTTGACGGTGAGTCGATGGTTATAGTGTATATAGTATATACAACCATTGATTATAAATTGTATAGTATTATTAATTAGTACAAAAATACTTTCTATTTATAATCAATGCTATACCATAATTATCCGATTAACCGAACGAAGAGGTCCAATGCCCAATTTAACTAGGTAGGTATATAATTTGTCATCGGCGTTCTTTGTTGTTGTTTATCTTTATTGTGTCTTTATCGTCGGCTGTTATCACCGTCGCAACGCTGATAATAAATTATTATTATTATTATCAGCGATTGCCATTTGCCGACGACACGCGGCTGTCGCCAGATAAGATAACCGGATCGATCGTGAATCGTATTTCGTGGCGTCGTTATTATAAATTATCGCCTCGTGCAAATATTTTCAATCCTTATGCCGCGTAGCTGTACTCTCGTTGCTATGATACCTGTTGTAAACAATTAATAATTGTCGTGCCGAGACCGTAACGTACAATAAACGTAAAACGACGTTTAAGTGCGCATTAATAAGACAGGCGGTAGGTTGGCTGTAGGCACTGTTGTACATTATTTTATTATTTTAATCGAACAACGGTTTTATATCAATTTTGCAGCTCACTTGTCAGTGCCTGAACGGACATTGTCATCATGGTAGTGGCCAGTGAAAGCGGTAGCGCATACACACCGACTGTTGTGGCGCAGGTCCGTTACATGTTACAATGGTTCGGTGAGTGGAGTGAAATGGAACGCGGCGACTTCCTGCCGGTGTTGGTTCATGGGTTTGGGTGTAACGGAAGCGCTGCCAATGGTCTACCGTCGATTATGGAAACCCTGTGCAAAGAGGAAGGCCGTCCACTAAGTCTGTTCAAATGCCGCATCAAGCTGTTCACCGAATGGGTCCAGACGTGGTCCGATGAAGACAAAGACAGCTTCCTGAGCGGTATACGTTCCATGGATACTGATTTTGCAGAGAGATACGATCAAAAAGCCGTCGATCATGTGGTCAGCAGCCCCGAGCACTGCAACGGTATTAATGGGGATAAAAATCCCGATGAAATACCAGAAGAAACAATTTAAATAAACAACGTTCATCATATATTACAAAATCTGTGATTCCAAATAATACTTCATTGATGGTTGAAAAGTTTTACTCAGCTATTCATTTTGGTAATGGATTCTTACTTAATAGTTAATGGTTAAGTATTTTAAATTTAATCAGTTTATAATAGACTTCTACAACATACCTATATAATAATATATATATTATAATACTTAGTACATTCCAACCTATTTATACTTAGGTATCTATTAATTCAATAATTTACTGTATGCCTATTGATTTATCAAAAATTGTTACTACTTATTTTGTATTTGTGTACATATATTACACATACTTCCTAGAACATTTTTAATTAGTTAAATCACATTTCAAGAACTGTCTAATAATAATGACTTATCATTTAATCTGTATAAATGTCTACGCCTTTATCTTATTTAATTTTAGTTTTAATATTTTAAAATAAATTTTTATTTTTATTGTATTGCAATGTTATACAATATACATTCCCTGTTTATAGTGTATACAAAATGGCTAGTAGTGAATATTTTTTTCTCCCCATTTCAATTATAGATTACTTAATATTTATACTCAATGTATATAATAATATGTTGCATTTGTTTGCATGATAATAATTTGCCATTAATAAATTGAGTCTAAAATATAAAATAAGTAATATTATTTTACTTGATTAATTTTAAGAATAGCTATGTTGTCAAGCAGTATTATTAGAAACATAACAGTATTATTTAATATAAAAATATTTACATAATATGATATTTAATTATAATTTTATGATACATATTTAGGCTTATTAATTCTATTGTGCAATCATTATATTATATTTAATTTAGTTAAGATTAGGATTAAGTTTTATTTTCATTCTTTTCAGTTTGTGAACCGAATTAGATTACCTAAGACTAATGTGAATTATAATATAATATCACATCAAAATATTATGTTTTAATTTTGAACAATGAATTACAACTCAAATTGTTTGTTTTTTCTTATAAAAAAAAAAAATTAAAAAGCAGGCAAGTTTTCAAATTCGCAATTCATAATAATATGCCTAACACAACTTGTAAAACTACAATTTTATTATTTATAAAAAAAATTGAACATTTGAGCAATATAATAATATAAGAAATAATTAACTGTACCTACTATATTCTATACTACAATGATAATATATTAGGTAATAATTAATATTGTATCATTTTTAAAAGTCTAATAAAGTAATACATTTTTAAGAATATAACACTGGTTATTATTATTGAATTAAAATATATATGATAAAATCTAAGGACTACAAATCAAATAAAATTCAATTTTTTCAATACCAATATGAGCATTTTGTAAAAGGTTACAAGTAGTATTGTGGAATAATGTAACATACTTATAAGTTAGTACTATTTGAACCGTAGTAACATTGTGGTAACTTTCTTAGTATTTTGTTTTCTTAATGTAAAAGTAACTATATTAATTGTTTTGAAGTAACTGTAAAATAATAAAGTGTTACTTTTTACTTTTACTTTATAAAAATAAGTTATCTTTGACAAATCTGTAAGCTTGACAACAGCTCATGACACAATACTGGTTTGTCAATTTTTTTAAGAACTAACTTTGATTAAACATGTTGAAAAAAGAAACTATATTATATTTAAACTTTAAACCATAATTATTGTAAGATAACATAAAAAAATAAATTACCTTCTTTTGGCAATACGCCGGTTAAGAACCACTTGAGTGTAATTGATGTGTTAAATTTGAGTTCAAATATTTAATGATAATATAATATCATGGTATAGGTACAAAAAAATACTTCTTATTGGAGATTGACCCTCAGCCTATGTCAAGTAGGTATTTTATAATAATAACATGCTTTTTTGTTATTCCTAATATTTTCCTATTAGTATTACGAAAGGTTATTTATTGTTGCATAAAACCAAGCCTGGTCATAAGCGAGTTAAAGAGTAAAAGTTAAGTTATTTTTAACTAAACTGATTTTTGTTGATATAAACTTAATAAAAAACGAGTTAATTTTAATCAAATCCAAGCTATGGTAATTTTTTAATAATTAAATAATAAATATAACAATTTTATTATTATTGGTGATATACAGGTACCTAATTCGCACGGTTATTTACATGTACTGCGTAAACATTTACTTTTTATTATTTTAAGCCATATAACTGGCCATTTATAAATTAAAAAAGGTGCTCTGCTGTACAGTAGGTTACAAGTGGATCACTGTATAATGGATGGTGCCTATTAAATTTGAATTCAATGATATAATATCATTGTATAAGAAAAACGATTCTGAGCGGAGACAGTATGTCAATCTATGTATAAGACATATTATATGCATATCTATGGTATTAAACAAAAAATTGACCTATAATAGGTACCTACCTATAATAAATTTCAAATTAATCATATCACAATATCCATTAGGTAGGTACTTATAACGCATTATACATCAACAAAAAGAGTGATACTATCATAGATATATTATAATAGTACACTTTAGAAGTTTCAGTACCCCCGAATAATATTATTCAATCACAACAAAATAACTAAAATAGTTATTCTAGGTTTTTAATATGTAATTTCGTCCAAATTTGAATTTAAAATGTCTGTAAAAAATAACTGTGTTCATATATTTTTTAGATTTTTAGGTTACAGTATATGAACTATTTATGAGAACCTTTGTTTTAAATTTGCAATCCTTAGCCATAAAAACTGAACATTTTATAATTTATTAATTATTAATTACAATGATTGATAATTTTCGAGATTTTGATAAATTTTGTCAAAATTCGATCTTTAAATGCTTATAGTTTTTTTTTGATAAAGGTTGATAATCTTATAAGGAATCTTGTATTACATTTTCAAATCTTAGATTTAAAAAGAAAAATTTTTACGAATTCTTAACTCAAAATAATTTGCTAATTTTTGTGATTTTTCCGTATTTTGTAAATTTTTGAACTTTAAATGCTTATAAAAAAAAATTGTGACTAAGGATTTTTAATATTTTTCATCTGCCTTTGAAACAATATACGAGGAGCCTTCTATTAAATTGTCAAGCTTTCGCGACCAACAAATAAAATTGTATTGATATTTTTAGAAAAAAAACTAAAAAAAAATGGAAAATGAAAATGTCCCTAAACAGTTCAAAATAAATGAAAATATTTTGAAAATGTTATCGTGTATAGAAAATGCAAATATAAACAACCAGTGAAAATTTCATGTATATACGTTCATTTGTTTTAGAGTTACATTAAAAACCAAAATCGATTTTTTGGAAAAACGATTTTGCGTAAAAATTCCCGTTTTCCTTAATTTTTATGTTGTTTTTTCCCGGCGCTTGTGAAAACTACTGGGGAATTTTTACATTTGACCCCCCAAAGTACCAACTAAATTCACTTTCCTATCAGAAAAGATACTGTTGAAGAAAATCCAAGCACTTTTACTGTCCTAAAACGTGATGACAGACACAAAAAAAAAATTTTAAAAAAAATACACATCGTTGTCAAATCAATACATTCATGATTCATAGTTCCACTCAGAATCTAAAACTAAATAAAATTTGAAACTTTAAATGTCTGTAAAGAGCTCAAAATAAGTCAAAATATTTGGAAAATGTTATGGTGTATAGAAAATGCTAATATAAACATTCAGTCAAAATTTTATGTACCTACCTACGGTAATTTGTTTAAGAGTTGCACCAGAAACCAAAATCGATTTTCTTGATTACAGATTTTGCGTAAAAATTTCCGTTGTTCCTTAATTTTTTTTTTTTCATGGCGCTTTTGAAAACAATTGGGAAATTTTTACTTTTGACTCCCCAAAGTACCAACTAGATTCACTTTCCTATCAGAAAAGATACTGTTGAAGAAAATCCAAGCACTTTTACTATCCTAAAACGTGATGATAGACACAAAAAAAAAAATAAAAAAAAATACACATCATTGTAAAATCAATACATTCATCGTTCCACTCAGAGTCTAAAATAAATAAATAACTTAACTTAACTCAATAAGTTAATTATTGTGAGTTTCCATATAACTTTTAACGTAAATGAGTTAAAAAAAAATTAGGATTACTATTAACTATAAACTTTTTAAAATATTTTCTAACTTGCCCAGGCTTGCATAAAGCATTGCCTATTTTAATATATTAACTAATATTTAATTATTATTATAGTATATATTAAAATTATACCATATTATTTTTATTGATTTTTGAGTCAATATCACCTTAACGTAAGACAGTGTGAAATGTGAATGGGTTCATAGTATAAGTAGGTAATACCTTAAAAATAATTAAAATATTTTGCAAATGTCATTGCATATGGAAAAATTTATAATTATTTAAGTCCCAACGAATAGTGTTTTTGAATCACAACGACATAATTAACTAACATGTTATTCTTTGTTAAAATATCTATTTAATGTCATCCAAATTTCTAGGGACGAGGGACCTATAACCTGCCTACCTGTACGTAAAATAAAATTATATTAATATATTTTTTTGATTACAATAAACTACTGACTACTTATGAGAAACCTTATATACAATTTTTGGATCTTAGATGCCTACCTATAAAAATATATTTTTATATGATTAGACCCTGGGCGGACTAGCCCACTGGCCTACTTTCCTGTACGATAGGAGCAAAGGAACCATAATTAAGGGTAGAACTTCTTAAATCTTCATCATTCAAGTAGGTAGTAGGAACCCTCAGTAGTTTTCAAATCTTAGGTATAAAAACCAGGGAAACTCTGCAAAATCGAATTCGGCTTTTTGAAGTATTTCAAAGATGAATAAGTTTGGTTAATTTTAGCTACCTATTGTAGTGCTATTTTTTGATATTTGTAATTTCTAACATTTTTGAAAACGTTAGTGTACACTGTACACTGTACAGTATAATAAAAGTTTAATAATGAATGAACTGTGTTACCGTGTAATAAAATTAGGCTATAGAGGTAGTCCCATACGAATTTGTGAGTAACTCGAAGCCCTCATGTAAAAACTTTTTGGAAATTTTAACTAAAAAATAACCATGGATTTTCGGTATTTTTTTTAATAGGTAATATTGAAACAATTTGTAAGAGCAACATTTTTACTTTGATAGTCTTTGTACTAAATGTTCAATCATTTTTACTCGCAAACAAACAATATTCTCAATATAAATAGTTTTTTTAAATCTTCTTTCTAATTAGGTACCTACCTAAAATCCCTGAACATATCTAACGACAGGCATCAAAACCAAGAATACTCATACCTATTTTGTTATACTAGGTAGCTAACAGCTATTATATAATATTTATTACCTAATAAATTGTTATTAACTTAAAAGTCCATAATGATGGATCCCATTCAATGGTACGAGTGGATCCGTGGTATAAGTAGCATATAATTATTATAGTTATTTTGGCACATTTCATTGTGTATGTAGGTACCTAATATTCGTAAATTCGTAATGGTTAAAAGTTTCGAGTTCTAAGGTTGATATAAATTGAAAACGTACCTACTTTCCCTGCGGTACTTAATAAATTAAAATCAGTTTTCTCCGCAATGGAATTCTTTAGTAGGTACAATTTTTAAAATTGGTAAAAATGATAGTACAATTGTACAAATAATAGTACAAAAAAATTGTGATTTTGTAATACAACCCCATAAAATCGGTTTCACTACTACAGGTATAATATTATAATATTGGGCCGCTGTGACGACGTTGTATCGTCGTTGTAGCGTATACAGTAGATAAAGTTAACACGTTTTATAAATAACTGAAAAAAAAACAGCTTAGCATAATAAAACTGCACAAATATTTTTAAATTTTGATGAAATATTTATTTATAAAATAAAGATTTCTACTCAAACAATTTTCTTATTTAGTTGTAATTTAAAAATGAATAATTGTAGATACTTTAAATAGGTAACTATTCACCAAATCCAAATGTTTATTGTATCATTTTATATAAATGTTAAAATTTTCAAAATGTTTAGTCTCGTTTTGTTTTACTTATAGACATTTTAAATTTACAATTTTTTTAGTTTTATTCTAAACATATCAATGAGACATTTTTTGTTTTTTCAGAAAGCTTTGAAATGTAATACCAACAAGGTTCTTCATAAGTTGCTAGTACCTATAGCAATTTAAAAATATTAAAGATACATAGGCACCATTTTTTATACCTATAAATTATAATTTGAAAGCATTTCTTATAGCATTTGAAATTCAAATGTTGACAAATATTTTTTTTTAACTACTTAGTGTTCAATTTATATAGCTCAAGTTTGAAAAATTAATACAATAGGGTTCTCATAGCTCATAACTCATAAGTAATAGTAGTTTTTACTGGAAATAAAAAATCTAAAATTTATAGGTACCTAATATTGGTTTTTTTTTTAAACAATAATGAGTTTTAAATTTGGACAAAATTTCATATTCAAGCAAAGAATAACGATTTTTGTTAGGTGCCTATTTACCTACTTTGTTGTGTTTCAAAAATATTATTTGTAGACTTGTGGACTGCGGTACTTGAAACATTTAACATATATTATTATATTTAATATAGACAATTACCTACATTCTCAAAACATATGGATCAATTTTATGGTATTGCATATATTTTATATTTTATACTGTAGTATATATTTATTATTTACCAATATTAAAATAAACTACTATAATAATTAATACTGATATAGGTAATGAGTAATGACTAATGTTTACATAATAAATTATGTCTGCTCAGAATTGTTTTTCTTAAACATTGGTCATTGAATTAAAATTTAACCCATCAATTAGTGACCTACCTACTCACAGACGAGTACACTACAACGAGTCACTACAACTGTAGGTACAGCACAGCAAATAGAATAATTAGTATAAATTAATTTTATAGTTTGTTTTTTTCCAAGCGTCTATAGGAAGTTTTTTGAATGATATTTTTGTCATACTATAAATCAGTAGCTTATTTACAGGGGGAGATTAGGGAGATATAGCTCCCCCCCTTGACCTTTTTATAGCTTATATTTAATATATTTGTATGTATAGTTGTTTTCCCATTTATCACTTTATCAGTAGGTAATAAATTGCGGGGACGTTTGGCATCAGGGAGGTTATAACTTATAGATAAATAAGATAGATGAACACGTTTATACATTTTAATTATTACATCATTAAAATGTAATGTTTATAATAATATATTAATATGAGCCATGCACATTTTTAAAATTTAAAATACATTTGAATTTCATTAAAAATAAGTCAATGATTTAAATTATAGTAACAATGAAGAATAGTAAAAAACATAATTTTTTTCCAAAAATTTTGTTTTGTGGGACTTAAAATTATATGAAAGAAATGTTTTTAAACATTAGTGTTTTATGAAATAACCAGTGCCTTATGTTAAATAGATCATACTGTATAAATTGTTTTCCTTTTTAGACTTATTAAGTTGATTAGTCAATTACAAAATTATTTACGAAGATAAAAATATGAGACTTAAATATTTACAATGTATATTCCAAAAATATAAGTTATAAAAAAATCAGCAACATGATATTTTTAAAGTTTTTATATATAATATTATTATAACTTATAAGTTTTAAGTGCTTTTTAATTGTGTTTTATGTAAACACACTTACACTTTGCACACAAATAATAAATTAAGAGGACGTTGTACCCGCATGAATTGTCCCGTCTTATGAGATACCAAATTTTCATTCACCAGTTTCAATAGTGTACTCTTAGTTTTGATATTAGAGTGAATTGACCTATTATACTATTTAAATGTAAGATTATTGTTATTATTTAGGACACAACATGCTTTTATTGGTATTATTATTTTTAAGTAAGTTGTGATCTTTTTGAAATTGTTCATTTTAAAATAATCATACTTAATATAATAATATCAATAAAAGCCTACGCTGTGCAGTATAATACGTCAATTCACCCTATACTCTGTTCAAAATAAGAAACCTAGAAGGCGGCAGTCAGACTACGCCCATTGTTCTCCCCACCAAATGAACCATCTGCTCACCAGCTCAGCCGACTATACGCGATGCAGCTGGTGGTAGTTTTCGCATGTACCTTTCGGCTGAATTTCAAATAATATTGTTTTATGTTATGTGTTCATGTCACTTATCAAAGATAGACTAATGAGTCGCTCCCACCGAAGCACTGCGGTGGCATTGATTTATATCCGTGCTATTAGTCTAGCCCCGGCTGGCCGCCCTTTATTTTTCTTATTTTGAACAGAATATAGTATCAAAACTAATCTCACACTATTAAAACTGGTGAACGACGTGCATAAGATGGAGACAACATGGAGATGCGGGTATGACGTTCACTTAGATTACATAAAAAAAGTACAATAGTATTGTATTTTATAAAAAAAAAAATACAAAACAAGAAAAAAATATTATTTCATTGAAGGTACAAATATTATATGTTTAATGAGAAGTAAATATGTTCATTTAATTAACACCAAGATTTACTGATACTTTTATTCTTCTTACTCTAATTTTGTTACTTTTAGATGTTTGTATTCTAATTTTGTAAAGATCACAGTAATATTCACTTTTTCTTCATTTTTTGTGCTGAAATGTTTAATTTACATGTTATAATTGGAAAAGTTCATTTTATGAGACATTAAAATATAATATAATAAAGAGTTTTTTTGTTTTTAATGTACATACTGATGTTATTGATTATCTGCTGGTAGTTGGTTTTGATTTTTTCCAGTAATTGATTTTTAACTATTAGTTTTTAATGTTAAGAGAACTAAAGTTGTTAAGTTGTTCTTCAAGATCAGTCTGTAAATATAACAAAAAAATATAATTTGTAAATTTTGAATTTTGACAGAGCAAATTATACTTAAGACTTAACTTATTAAACTAAAATTAATAAACTAAATGTCAATAATTTTTAATTATTTATTATTTTTAATTTTAGTACACTTGCTTTAATTATTACTTATATTTATTTATAATTTAATATTTAAACAATTAATTGTATTTTATATTATTTTATTATATATACATTATTAGAAATACTGTACTGTCTATACATATGATTATACCAACATTAGATAATATATTTTATACAAATTTCAGTGTTAATTCAAAAATATAATATATTAAAGTAATATGACAATATTGTTTTCTGAAAAGAAATTTAAATCCAGGTATGAATTTTCTAAGAACTAAGATTCTTATGTAATTTTTTTGTTTTTAAATTAACATCATTATGGAATTGGATATTTTAATTAAAAAATCAAAGATTTAGACTACATAATTACATAATTACCTATACCTTTTTACATGAAATGCTTAAGAAGATGTCACACCCACATGTGTTGTCTCCGTCTTACAAATATACAACATAGCAAAAACTATTTTCACAGGACAACTTTTATCTTTCTATGTTTGTAGTAGTGGCTCCAAAATTTCTGAACATATAGGGTGGAAAATTATTTATGCAACAGAGTGCCCATATTTTAGATAACATAAATACAATAAAAGTTATTTGCTTCTAAACATTTGGTTATTTTGTTTTTTTCATTTGCTTATAAAAAATGATTGGATAGTGGTATTAAAATAAAAAGCACGTTGGTGCACAGATAAACTTTTTCTTGACGTGGTGAGAAAATTTGATAGTTCTACAACAAATATGGTGCGAGAAAAGTTGTCCCGCGCAAAACAGTTTTTGCTATGTTGTACATTTGTAAGACGGAGACAACAAGCGGGTGTGACATCCTGTTAAGAAGCATTAAGACTTCATTACCGCACTTTATCTTCTTGTTAATTTATCATAGTATTTGCAGAAGATAACAAAGAATGTGTACTCTGGCCCACGAGGGAACGCAATCGTTTCTCGCATGCAGCAACCGTTCCGAGCTACTGTTTCCACCACTTTGTATTTTGTATAGTTTTGCACTTTGCTGACGGTTAACTACCATAATCAAACGGATTGTCAGTATGTGAAATTGGTAGGGGATGCATCAACTCGGACACATTTTGGTCGCTGCCCAGTTGCGTCTTCTTGTTGGACGGAGTAAATTAAAAAAAATTAAAATTCCAAAAATGCACCATAATACATCAAAACCAATAATCAAAGTACTATGAAATATGAATAATTTTGAAGTGAAAAATTCTTTAGGCACGTTTGGCACCCCGTATAAGAAAGCATTTGCGAGTGAGGAAAAAAGTATGATCTCGCGACACCGCCACCGCCACCTAGCAACGGCGAGTATATATATATGTATTTGTTTGGTCACGTATAGCAACTGCGCGTTATATTTATATTGTTATATTTATTATATATATATATTTGCGAGTGAGGAAAAAAGTATGATCTCGCGACACCGCCACCGCCACCGCGAGTATATATATGTATTTGTTTGGTCACGTATAGCAACCGCGCGTTATATTTATATTGTTATATTTATTATATATATATATATAAATATATATATATACTTTAATTTTAATTCATATTTTACCCGTATATTTTAATTCATCAATTCGAAGTACCGATGTTTATGTATTACATATAAAATATTATAAAAGTAAACACGTGGAGGAAAATATTTATAGCTGGTGTGTGTGTGCGTGCGTGCACGCGTATATATATATATTATGTTACCGCCAGTGATGATAATTAGGTATTGTTAAAAATGACTAGTCTATGTTAACACTGACTGTTTTACATACGCATTGATATTATTGGCTAGTCATTTTAGAGAATACCTAACTAAGATAGACAATAATAGAACAAATTTAATATTAATACATAATTTCTATGATTGAGCAGTCATTGTCATTATTGACTAAAACTATGTAGCCATTGATAATTTTAGATATAATATATTATATTTACTAGGTATTTAAGAAAAAACAATGAAAAAAAAATATAAGAAACATATATTCCTCTTTGTTTAAAAATGATATATTATCTTCACGTTTATTTTTCAATAAATCAGATAATGCGTTGTAAAATTTTTGACGCATTTCATTTGAATTCATTTTTTTAATAAAACAATTCAACACTTCGAATTTTCGAAACGAAAAACTATACGAAACTATAATCTATATTATACGAAAGTACAACGTAGACTGTAACAATACTTATGTTATAGCCTTATAGGTCAGTTGCTGTGAGTATTAATACTATAAAAGATACCTATTATTATTCGTTATAAAACAGATACCTAATCTTAACGTGGGTTTTTAAAGTTAAAACGATAAAAGATAACATTGACTACACGACGATAGGATATGTTATAATAACTAGTGAATCTATCAAATTATAACATCGTCTGATTTATCAAGTCAATGTTACAAATATATGTTGATTATAGATAATGACCAAGTTACCAAGGCATTATATTAATTGGCTAGTCAATATCATCATTACCTGTATTTACGACATTGACGGTAACATATATATATATATATATATATATATATAGCGCATGCGTGCCTTTTGTTGCTTTTTAATCTGTATACTGAGCGCTTAATTTGAAATTTAATTTAACTTTTGTTGAAAATATTGCATCAAAAATATTATAAAATAATAAAAGTTTTGCGTGTCGGACAATTAAAATTCGTAAATTTTACACAATAATTTTGACATGTAATTTTTTTTTCTTTAATGTAAAATAACTGAAATAATTATGTATAGTATTTTATATTGATAAATAAAACAATTCGTGGTACATTATTTCCTAAGCATTGCAAAATTTTTAAAACGAAGTGAAATTGTTCTAGTATATATACACATACACGCTCACACTTAAGTATAACAGTATATACCACGATATATAATATATACATAATACATGTCCTCTCGGTGGCGGTGGCGGTGTCGCGATTTCATACTTTTTTCCTCACCCGCAAATGCTTTCTTACGGGGTGCCCAATGTGCTTAAGGGGCCTGGTCGCGACCTGTTTTTTTGCTCAAAAACATGCCTTACAGGAAAAACTCTCACGCCTTGTAGATTGGTCCGATTTCCGTAATTTTTTTTTTGTTAAATAGAGAAAGACGTATTGCAGGGCGCATTGGACTTGGATTTTCAAAATTATTTTCGAAATCTTATATTACAAGTTTGAATTTAATCCATTTTTACAACTTTTTAGTTTTTGTATTATTATTTATTTTTAGCAACGTAATCAAAAATCAAAGTCCAATGCGCCCTGTAAAAAATATTCTTCTATCTAACAAAAAAAAAATTACAGAAATCGGACCAATCTACGAGGTGTGAGAGTTTTTCCTGTAAACTGTGTTTTGACCGATATAATACACCCTATCAACCCCCCCCCCTAAATAGGTATTGGGTAGTAGATTAGTGGAAAAGTCTTATAATTGAGGTGGCAACTAAAATATAAAATTTAATTTTCAAATTTTATAGAATTGCGGAAAATTTGAAAAATCGCGACCAGGCCCAGTTTTCACTTCTACCGGCAGTCCCCCGACTGGTTAGGTTTTTTTTTAATCAATAAACATTTTATGTAACTACCTTGGTATCACTAGGTGTAGGAATTAATGGTATTGTTATTTACTAACTTACAAGCACACAAAAATTGTATTTTGCTCCTTAATTCATTCTAAGCTTGAATATTGTTACTTAATTTGTCCCCCTTTGTAATAATATTTACTATCTTATAATGATTGCAGACCATGTACAATATACAGCCATGCATCTATTATTATTATTATTATTATTATTTTTACGCGGAACATTTAGTGTGAACCGTAGTGAAATTATATAAGTTTATTATGTTTGCATTGAGTATTGTTAATTTTAATTGCCATTGCGATCTTTGATTTTTTTTAAATAAATAGTTTTGTTTATATCAACATCCTGACATCAGTGTAATGATTTCCAGTGTAATACATATGAGACACTACATCTTACTATTATGCCAGACTATCAGACCATTAGAATCAAATATATGATATAGAATATTTAGATTTCATGTAAATTCTTAGTTCTATTTTTTTGCTACATTTGTAACATTGACAAATAACATCTCATTTGCATAAATAACATCTCAGTCTAAATTTCTAAATTTAATTATTTCATTTTACTATTTTAGATATTGAACCTTTGGACTTCCATGGTACTTTTAGTCATTCTCTATGACTATGAGTCAAACCCATATTTTCTAAGAGTACAGGTATGCATAAATTTATTTACTATCAAACATTATTTTGATACATAATAATATAACAGTGTAAATGTATTAATATTATTTCATTTAAGATATTCAACCTTTGGACTATCATGGTAGGTCTTGTCTCTTGTAATTCGTCATTTTCCAAGTCTTATTAAAACGGAAAAAATTGTTTTATTTAGGAATGAGTAACAAAAAAATTTTAAATTTAACATGATGTTATAAATACTTGATGAAATAAATGTAATGAAATAAATCAAATACCTAGTCCTATATGGAACTAGGTCTATAATACAGATAAATATTTATTAAGCCTACACTATGTTATATACAAATTAACTATTTTTGTCTACCTATATGCAAATGAATAAAGTCCCAAGCCCTGATAATTAATAACATTATTATTATACAATAGTTAATAACTATATAGTTATTACAGACAATAATACAATAGTTATTTACTGTTATATTAGAACAATTAAATAACATAAAGTATTATATAGCATTATATAGTATAATATTTATAAAGTTGTATAATATTATATGGTAAGTGTTAATAACAATGTTTTTGGTAGCAAGGGACAACAGCTGGCACGATAGGAATGACCACATCACTCACCCGCATCACACCAGGATGCTCCTTCTATGAGTATAAGGTCTATGACTCTATTTACATAGAGTATAGACCCATTTTATACTTTCCCTATGTATCTCATTTAAATTTTTGTTTCATCAAACTATTGTAATATTGTTGGGTATTATTGTTAATTCTTATTATTTGTTTTATGTACAACCCGATCCCACTTCTATTGCAGTAACCACTCATATATGGGCTATGTCCATGTACTTTCCCTGCTTAAACTACAATAAATAAACATATATACCTAAATAATAATTTTCAACATACTTTAATAATTTAAATGTTGGTACTGTATCTTTTTCGCGCAACCACAGTGGTGTGGTAAGTAATTGATTTTGTAAATATTTTGAACTTTTAAAGCATATGTTGGAGCAAAATTTCTAAAACAAACAAAAGTGATTATTTGTAGTAAACTTATTTTCATCATTTTTAGTTAAGCAGAGAATGCTTGGCTCTCTTTACATAACTAAACCGGATAAAAATACAAGTTCATATAACAAGATATTATTATTATTGGGTTATTCTCATGTCACAATAAATTATCACCTAAATCAATTTTTTCATGTACAAAATTATTCAAGCAAAATATTAAAAATTTGATGTGATAAATTCAATATGGAAAAAATATACTGACTTGTTTTTTAAGACTCTTAAAATATTATATCTCATTGTATTATAATGTATACAAATATGGAATCGGGAATGGCCATAGGAGCTTTCAGATCAAGCCTAGTTGATCAGATAGTTTTCTGTACTAAGCCAACTGCCTACCACTGGACATCACAAAATATGTAATAAAAAAGATGTATACTCCCTAATCACCCATAATAGAGTTTACAGACCAACGATACCACACTAAAAATTCATTTAAAAAATAGTATCAAAAAAATTAGAATTATAAACTATTGTAGGCCATTAACCTTGTATTTGAAGCCTTAAAAATTAATTTAATATATACAATTAATATGAATAATTATACATAATTATAGATTTGAATATAAGTTAAATGATTAGATTTGAAATTTATTAGAATAATATTTTGTGTGACGGGAATTTCTTTCAAATTACTATATTGTAATTTATTTAAATGATTATGTTTAAACTAGGTACTTAGTACTTACTAACAATTAACTAGCTCAGAAACAAAGTTTAAACACAACATTTTGAAAATTACAGGTTTAACCTTGTTAGAAATATAAGGATAACAAACAATTATCATAATAATAAAATAAAGAAACTGTTAAAAAATTAAATATTGTATAAATACCTTCCTTTCTGTGATATCATATACCTTTTTGAGGGCTAATGATATCTTGTACTTTTGATTTGGTATATACTCCAACTTCTTTTCACACATAAAATATCCACATTGTTTTAATATAAATCTTTCTTCTACTACATCTTCATAGTGGCAAGGATTAATTGAATGCAGCTAAAACAATTTAATTATCAGCAAATATTTAATATATATATAAGAGATTGATTAATATAAATTGTTATCTCTGATAGGACAAAAGTAGGTACATAGTATACCTAAATTAGAAGTATAATTTTTTTTTGAAATATAAAAATAAGCAATTATATGAAATAGGTACAATTAAAAAAAATTGGGGAAGTGGATGTCGCTCTGCTATACAGTAGGTTACAAATGGGTCACTGTATAATGGATGGGATTAAATTTAAATTCAATGATGTAAAATCATTGTATACGAAAAACGATTCTGAGCAAAGACAGAGTATTAGTCTAGGATATTTTATATTAAATGTATATTGGTATTACTTATTATTAATACAGTACCCGGTGAGTTGAATTATTATAAAATTACAACAAAATAACTAAAATCGTCATTCTTGGTTATTTATGTAATTTTGTTCAAAATTGAGAAGTTTTAGTAAATCTCAAAAATGTATGAAAGTCGTTTTTATTTATTTTAATAAACGTTGGAACTTAAGGTACCTACTCAACTTGAAATTGTGATGTACAATTAATATTAACACCTATATTGCCCCACTAAGAAAGAATGCCGTAATACAAAAAAAGTTAATGAGATAACACTATTTTATGTGTATTACAGTAGTTACACAAGTTTTTCCTAAGTAAGATGACATATAGTTTATTTCAAATATATGGTTATGTCTACATAATTAAAATTACTTTTACATATATTAGGTACAACATCAATTAACCTTCAATGCTGTTATATAATATTCTAATTCTACCTTATTTAACAAGTCCGCTTCTTCCAATCCACCATCGATTAACTCAATCACAATGTCCAATGCTTTTTTCTCACATTCCTTTTTTTTTTCTAAAGTTTCAAGGATATTTTTTGATAATCTAAAAATATAAGAAGACAAAATAATAAATCTTTAAAATTAACTTTTAACAAACTTACTGTTCTTTTTTCTTTTTTGAATTATTTGGTTTTTTTAAATTATCCATATTGAAAAAATGTTTTGTTGATACCTTGTGAACCTTATCTTCCGCCTTCAGCTTTATGTGTAAATGATTTTGTAATACCTGAATTTTTTTTAATTTCAACGGTAATAGGTAGTTTATACTTTAAATCATCTAAAATTTCAGAAAAAATATTCTAGACAGTAGAGACTAATGTCAAATATGATCTCTAACATTATAATGCATATTAGTATCGCATACATTATAACTACAAAACAGTTAGCTATGTAAATTACATAAACAACTATATTTGAATTATGAGGACTAACTAGTTAATATTTTGTCTATTCGAATTAAATTAATTGTTCAATTAAAATGGGTGAGCCTAATTGACTGAACTGAATGACTGAATGGACTGAATGGACGAGTTCAACAGTGGTGCCAACGATAAAATTCAAGTCCCATCCCATATAATTTCTTATCACGGGTCCTAGTTCTTATCATGGAACTGAACTGTCCCCATAACCAACTGGTTGGTAACTACCATGGTCGTAACCACGAATTAAAGATACTACTGCATATTATGTTGCCGATGTATTTCTTAAAAGGGTTAGTTAATCTAAAACCGACCAACCCACTTCATGTTTCCACCGTGTCAAGATAAGTAGCACTTTTCGGTTACTGAGTTACTCTGATACGGTTTAAAATATGTTTATAATATTCATATTTCATACTATATATTTATACTAAACGGGCTGCATCACTGCGCTATGTATAAAATCATGGAAATAAATACCTACCGCAAAATATAATAAATAGATTAACCTGTAGGTATCTCATCCACAAACAGACGACCACAAAAGTTCTGAATAGATAGTACATACCTAATATTATAATATACATCTGTCATTTACTAATTAGCTATACGTTTATACCTATTGTCCAGCGTTAGTAGATTTAAAGACATGTCATATTATAATATTATAACAAAATACATTTAGTCATAATCATTTTCGAGACGTATACACATCATAAGCTTTGATGATTGAAATTTAAAGTTCGTCAATTATATAAACAATTTTTCATGGTTAACACTCTTAATGAGATTTACTATCGATGTGATTATATATTTATATGAATAGGTAACTACCTACTTCTAGGAAAACTTCTGGCATAGAAAGTTGTATGTTGCTGGCGTAATTACCAAATGCGAACTAACGTATAAATATGTAATAGTTTTAAAGTCCAATAAATCATTTATAGGTTGTAGATGACGTTCACATAAGATAATATCATACTTTTAAGTTCCCAAACGTTTCGGTTTAGGCCCTTCTAAAACGTACTCCCGGAGCCGGGGGTCCTCGAACACCCCCCTAGGTGTATTTTGGAAAAGGTTTAGTTTTTGTATGACGTTTCTGAAACTCAAGATTTGTATAGTTTGGAGGTCGGTGATCAAATTCGGCGTCTTGTGTCGAGCCCATAGGAGCCGTTTTTCTCCGTCTTTTGGGGCTTCAAAAGTTCAAAATTTGCATTTTTCGGAGTTTTCGTTGCTGACACTTAGATTTTGGGCGTTCCGAGCCGTTTTTGTAGTCGGGCATTATAGAGCACTTTACGCCTGAACGATTGGCACCGAGATCGAGGTGATCCGACTTTTTGTTCGGGAGTTATGATTTTTAAAGTGTTTTTTGTACTTAGAAAATTACGTATTTACGTGTTTTTTAGATTTTTTTTTTTCGTTTGATCACTACAAAATTCTAGAATCTGATCATTCGGCATACGAGGATTCAAAAAACCTCTATGGTCAAAATACGTACGACCATTATTTCGCCCGAAATCGTAGTAGCAAAAAGTTAGAAAACAAATTATGCTATTTTTCGTATTATCAAGGCGTCTCCTTGTGGTATACGTCTGTGTAACGTATCAAGTAATAATTATATTGAACTTTTTTTCACACTTATTTTAGTAGGCGTGTAGCTCATTATTCATTAATGTAAATCGATAGGTATATAAGAATAAAATATTAAAACCTATAAAATAATAGGTCAATTCACTCTAATATATGTATTTGAGCTAACAACACAAAATTGGATGTATATTTTGAAGTACTAGCTCCTTCAAAATAAGTCGTATCGTTATGAAACCTTCAAGGATCGAAGCAGACAACCCTCAAGATCAAATTTATTGTCTCAAAAAAGCCGCGACTCGATTTTAAGTTTGAGAAATTGGCAAAAGAAAATTTCCCGCCAATTTTATTTTTGAAAAAATCAAATTTTGAACTCAACGTTTACCCCCTTAATATTTGAGTTTCAATACTTTTAAAAACTGGGAACTGGTGTAGGGCCGCTTCTGCTTCGATCCTCGAAGGTCTTAGGTAGATAGAATTAATATTAAATGATTTGGTTTTTTTAAAATCGTAATATATCGAAAAAACCTAAAAAGTCTAATATTGGTCGTAACGTCTTGAAATCCTCAAGGTTCAAAGCAGTGACACCTCTAAATCAAATATACGTTCTCAAAAAAACCGAGTCTCGATTCTAAGTTTGAGAAATCGGCAAAACAAAATTACCCGCCAATTTTTTTTTTTTAAATTCAAATTTCGAAAACTTCGTTAACCACCCATATATAATTGAGTGAAAAATTATTTTTTGAGCTGGGAAGTCTAGGATCACATCTTCTTCGACCCTCGAAGGTTTTATAAAGAAAGGAAGATTTAAGAATTTCCAAAATCATAATAAACCTGAGAGCAAAATCCCATATTTTAGACCAAAAACCAGCCTGCACAACTATGAAAGCCTATATGTTAAACAATTTTGCTAGAGTACAACATTTTTATATATTCAATGGTTTACGAAATTACGAGGGTATCGCAATAATATGAAATTGCAGTAAAATTGCCTGTACAGAACACTTTTTAAACTATGTCTATATACCTAAATGTTTTAATCAAAAGTAAAGAATATAATAAAATACATATAATGTATAATGTATTCATTATTCTAAGTCTTTTCCATAGTAAAAAGTGTTCCTTTTTTAAATTCGTTCCTTAACTTAACAAGTTTAAATATTTTTTTTTCTTTAGTAAATTATCTATTTTTTATAAATATTAATAATGCATACAATTAGCATATATAAACCTATTTGCTTATTCACAGAATAAAACAGTAATATTTCCATGCCATACCTTAATGTACTAGCAAGTAGCAACATCATAGGAATGATTAGTTTTTACAACTTTTAGTTGATTTCTTGATGGATACAAAAAGTGTGTTGCTACCTACATAATAATACATTTTTGTCAAAACAAATAGGTGATACATTAATCATTATAATATGTACAATGAACATAAATTAAATAGCACAAAAGCCAAACTTGTGGGGGGGGGGGGAGAGCGGTTCTTATATAGCATAAGTAATAGTATATAGTAAATATTATATTTGCTTCATAATATAAAGTATCTATTGTTTGTTCAGATAATAAAATCGAAGTATCATCAGCAAAGCTGATAAGTTCATAGGAATTTTTAAGAGATCATTAATAAATATTATGAATAATACAACTGTGTCTTGTGGTACCTACACCACAAGATACTTTTTGTATTTCACTATACTGATCATTGAGTTTGACTCTTTGAGTTCTACCATTTAGGAAGGAAATCAGTAATCTATTTGGTATACCACGAATACCTGCATGTTCTAATTTATTAATCAATAGTTTATGAACAACACAATCAAAAGCTCTCTGAACATCTAAAAAAATGCCTATTACCTTATTATTATTGTCAATATTTTTTCTAGCAATGTTGTAAACTTTCAAAAGTGCACTTATAGTAGAATATCCACATAAGATACATAAGATGTTTTCTACTTCTAAATAGTAGAATGCATACTGCATAGTAGCATCCTAGTACCTGAATCAGTTGTATTCTTGTTGAGTATAATTTTATATTGTATAAGAAGTAACATCATGTTGTGCAATAGTAACATCGTTGTAAACCACACCATATGTGTAACAAGGTAAATTGGTCACTTGTATATAAAGCCGACTTTTAGCATACTATAGAAACTACAGTATGATATTACTTATTACTAAAAACAGTGTAGTCACTTTTGTCTAGATCGATCTACAAACATAAGCCTAACTCAAATTCTGCATACCAAATTTTTTAGTAACATTATTATACATACATAATTGGTATCTCAAATTCTTAAAATCCATTTAACTGTTTAATAGAATTTATGCATTTCAATTAAATAACTAGATTTCATACTTCCAAACATCAATAACATAAAAGTAGTAATTTAAAGTTATACTCTAGTGTTGTCTAACATCCAAGGAATTTATAATGTTATAAACTCATATTAATAAACACAAAAATGTAATTCATATAACTGCAATATTTATTAACACTCATAAATTAAAGAGACAATATGCACATAATTATAACAAGAGTACTCATGCAGTTACCACTATGGGACGGTCTACATGATCGATAGGGTAACGCATTCACACTGCACTGGCTGTATATTGGTGTCTATTGCTCTCCCTACCCACCATTTTCAATCACAGTGCTGACACCTTCCACACTTATAATTAATATATATAACAATAAGTAAGAATAAATATAATATTTAGATTATAATTTTTATTAATTTAAAATTTAACAATATAAGCTTGTTGATTAAATACATTGTGGCTATTTAATAAGTTCTAAGTACGTAGTGGACTTTTAGTCATTTTATTAAAAAAAAATAACAAAATGTCAAGGATATGGTCCAATTTGACCAAAAACATAACCATCATTGAGGTGGCCAGTTCTCCTCAAGAATGCCAAAATGTCATTATCTCTATTGAGTTGCTGAACATTTTCTCTGATGATTCTTGTTGTGTTTTCTCTTTGTGCTCTTGAGCGCATATCTCTGATCTGTTGGATTAAATAAATTATTTAATTTGTTAATTAAATGCCATACACATTTTAAGAAAATTACTTGTAAATTTCTTTGCCGTTGTCCAAATTCTACAAAAAATTGATTTTCAATTATAACCAACCTTTCTGTAAATAACAAAGATGAACACATGACATTAGTATGCAATAAATTGCAAATTATAATAAAATGTTTCACAGAAACAAATCAACACTAGCTAATCAAGACATTAAGCAGAACACCTAGTATTGATATAGCGATTAATACCAATGGACAATGGTAGACAAATTAAGGAAAATAATTAACTTAAGTCAAGTTAAGAAAACACAAGATTGATAAGTTAACAATTAACTAACCATACATTTAACTTGATAAGTAAGTTATTATGGAAAAAAATGTTAACTTAACTTTAAATGTAGATTGTCTACCTTTGATCAATAACATTATTGAAGTGTTCAACATAAATACAATACATCAGCAAATATTAGTTGCATGCAATACTAATAATTATATCAACAATATTTATCAACAATATTCTCATTGACAAAGTACTCACAAAGTGTAATATAAGCATACAAAATCAGTTATAGGTAGTGAAATAAGTAGTTTTCAAAAAATGAAAATAATAATAATAATGATGTATTTCAAATACATGAATAACTTATCTTTACTTTTCCCAGGACGTTGATTAATCTATAAATACAGCACAAACATAGAACAAATTTCAATATAATAATATTGATGTATTTCAAATACATGAATAACTTATCTTTTTTTATTGCATGTCGTTGATTAATCTGTAAATATAACACAAACATAGAACACATAAACATAAAAACATTTAGAACAAGCATGTAACATAGAGATCACTCATTAGGAACTACTTCAATAACTCACGTAGGAAATCCCAAATGTTAGGGTGGGTACCCATTTGCTTGAGTAAAGTTGAATGGAACGATTCTAAATTATTGTTTGTACGGTGATCTTCTCCAAAGACACTAAATTTTTCTGGTCCAATTTGGTTAATCCAAAAACCAAGGATGTAATTATCCAAAAAATGTTCTTCAATGACTTGGATTTCAGGAAATTGTCTGGCATACTGTACTATGACATTGTATCCATCTAACACACAAATATTTGGACACAGTGGATTGTTTCTTGTGGCAGGCAAGTGAGGAAGAGCTAAGACCTGATAAAAAATGTATTAGACTAAGACATGTTAAATTTAATATATAAATTTAAAAAAATCACCATTCTAAGAATCCTAGCTGCTTCTTCATGCGTTCGGATTAAATTTAGTACATTGTTCAATTTTCTATGGCAGTATCGCACGATAGACTGGGTAAAGTGAAACCAACAACAAACTAATCTGCTTGTTGGAAAAATGTGTTCAACTGCATTCATCAGTGCTTTTTCATAATCGGTCACAAACCGAACTCTGTCGTAATTTAAAGGTAACATTTGTCTGATAATACTGAGTACACCACAGTATGTCTCTTCAGTCATACTCCCTAAAAGTACATACACCATTGGAAATGCCTAAAACAGAAAAAAATAATGTCGAAATAATATATACTGACAACAGTGATATTTAATATGTACTTACAACACTATTGAATACTATTTGAAATGTCAGCAGACATTTCAAGTCGGTTGGGTGACTAGGTACAGTTTTGAATGTTTCATCAATGCCAACCAAAGTCACAGTGTTCAAATCTTCTCTGTACAGTTCTATTGCAGAAATTATCCACTAAACCATTAGATTATATTCTGCATGTAGAGTAGAAATATTATCAATTTGCAACTCAATCGTTCGCCATATAGGGAATTCCGAATTTATAATGTCATCTGAAAAAATATAGTTTAAAACGAATACAAAATAGCAATAAAATAAATGATTAAAACACCATTAACAATAATATTATTCTTGAATAGAAATTCTGTGGTTTTATGTAAAATTAACCAAAGAAAGTCCATTATATTGTGAAGACTGCAGGGTCATATATTTTTTATTTTTATTTCTTCATCAAGTGCAAATCGAATATATTGGAAACCGATATCTCATACCTATAACATATTCATAGTTCAGTGATCGTTACTATGTCATTAAATTATCATTAATCGTCATAAGTTAAAAACAAAAATTATTTGTACACGTTAATTAATTAATAACTATCAATTATTGTAATTTTTACCTTTAGATACATTAGTTCTCTCTTTATATAAAATGCAAATATAGGAGATTATCACCTTAAAGAAGAATATCAAAATAAAGTATATGAATTAAACATTCCTACTTCAACTATTACTGAAGATATTTCAGAAATTGTAAAGAATATTAAATCTAATATAATTGAAACAAAATCAATTATTGAAAAAAAACCTACCTATAGAATGGCACAAATTTCAGTGGCTAATTATGTGTTAGAAAATAAGTTGATTGATTTCTCACCTCATTTGTAGGTACACATCGTACGTAATGCGTTTTCTAATAGGACACATGTCGTGAGCAAAATTGGGAAGAAATTTCAATGCACATGCAGTAGTAAAAGTACAGGAGAGTGTTACCATGTATAGACCCAGTCATTGGAAGCTGATAAATTAATTTTAGAATCATCAAATAAAAGAAAATATTTGGATAAACCTACATCAAAGTCAACAGTTAAGATACTAATTAATAACTATCAATATTCAATTATTGTAATTTTTAATTAGTCACTAATTTAATAATTTAATAATTTTTATCAGTAGTGATTAATGATCATAACTAACAATGATAAGTGATAACTAATAATATTTTAAAATAATATGTTGATAATCCCTTTTTTATTTTCACCGATATTATTTTCTTGTCGGCACCACTGAGAAGAACTCGTCCATTCAGCCATTCAGTCATTCAGTTCAGTCAATTAGGCTCACCCAATTAAAATCAATAAGTTTAGAAGTGTGTGAAAATTTGATATAGATAAGTTGTGTTATCAAATAGTAAATTGATTAAACTCACGACTTCAACTGTAATTTCTGAATTTGATAATAATTTATAATTGTATATTTGTATAGAATATTATAAATCGATATTCCTTGACAATAATATCACACCAAAAACACTTCGTTATAACTCCGTGTAAAAAAAATCTAAGTTAAAAAAAAAATGTAGTCATGATTAAATCATTTAAATCTTTAAAAGACGTGATATAATATGGAAATTAAGTAAAATTACATTTTATAATATTACAAATACCTATCATGACAAATAAGATCAATTGTAATGTTAAATACTTAGTCAACATATTGTTGATACATTGTTAATTACTGTAAATACTGTAGTCTGTAGTGATTACTTAGTTATATTTATTTAAGTATACTTCTAAGTCCTGCGAAATAGTTAAACATAATGTGTTGACTAAGACACTAAGTATTTAACATTACAATTGATCTTATTTGTCATCATAGGTATTTGTAATTGTTCATGTTTAAGATTGTCATTTTCATTTTGTTTTCTGTCATCATTTTTTCTTCATGTGCATGCAACGGTGCGGTCCGCAGCTGCAGCCGTAATCAAATAAATTCTTATCATGTTTCCGTGTGCGAACGGCCAGCTGCGTGACCGTTATCAATTTATGTTTTCAAAAGTCATATTATTCGTTCAAAGTTTTTTCTCGTCAAGTCATGCTTTCAGTGTCACAAAGTTATTAGTTTTTTCATGTTTAATTGTTTTAGTGTGGTGACACTGAAAGCCCATTCGTACAGTTCTCGTTGCATTTTGTATGTCCGTTAATGTAAAACTCGTCCCTTTTTCACACGACCTCCGAGGTGCACGGTTGTTCTGTGTTCAGTCAGTCGTCAGTATTTTAATTCATTTTTTAAAATAGAATACATAGAGTCATAGACATTCAATTTCATTCTATACAATACATTCATCAATCATCATTCAGTTAATCATTTTGTGTACATCATCTGTGAATTGCCTTCTGTAAGTATCGTTCAGTCATTTGTTTTAGTTCTTTCATTAATATTATTCCCCAATTCAGGGCGTTCAAAGAGATACTTACAGAAGCACGTGAATTTTTGCCATTTGTGATTTGCATGTACACAGTGATTTATTCGTCTTGAGTTCTAAAGGTAATCAGCTGACGAGCTGCATATTATTATTTATTATATTAGTCATTCATATTCTAGTCAGAAACTTTGTATTATTATTATTTGTATTATTTGAATTATTGAATTATTGTATTATTGTTAAAAGCCAAGAGGCTACATATTATATTTATATCATACTTAATTATTAGAAACCTGCCTGGCAATTTATTATTTTATTTATTTAATTAAAAGAAAAACAAATTATTATTATCATTGCTCAATAAAAAATTACAGAACTGCCAACACACATTGTTTTTTTTCATTTTATGTTCTACAAGCATATATATATATGATTCAGTCGTGAAGGCACAACTTATTTTATATTAATAAGAGCTGACAGCGGCAACATTTTGGTGACCTCGACGTGATTTATTATTATTTGTATTATATATGCTTTGTGTGGCAGTTATTAAAGTTGATTAAAAACTTATAGTCAAACATGAATCTCTAGTTATTAATTTAAAAATTGTTCAGGTTGGTTTACATCATATTATTCATCAAGTAATTTGAAAATTGTCATTATTACATTTAAATATTTGATTTATTATTTGTGAACCATTATTATTAATATTTTTTGCTATCATAAGAACAAAATTGTTTCCACATATAGGTGATTTAATATTATATTCTAACATCAAGACATCACAACAACTCAAATTCATCTCAAGACATCATTCAACCTAACAACACCATGCCAACCAATCCAGATCCAAATGAGCTGCGCAAATGGAAGAGAAAGATTGATACACTATGTGCCATCATCGAAGACCATTTTGCTTTTGCTTCTCAATACACAAGTGAATCAAACAATATTTCCCAGGTCAAGGTAAGACTTGAGGAAATTAATGAATTTTCTGAGAAATTTGAAGAATATCAAGCTGAGTTAGAAATGTTAGATGAAAAAAAGGATTCTGAATGGATCAATGTTCGAAGATCATTCCGAAACCGATTGTGTGATGTTAAGGCTGCGTTACTCAAAATCATAGATGATCATGTTATCCATCCAGACAATGTATCTAGTCCATCAATGAGCTCAGCCAGATCTCAACAACATTTAAATACATTCAACTCTATGAGGTATCCACCATGTGCTCTTCCTACATTCAGTGGTGATTGGCAGCAGTGGTCATCCTTTATAGATACATTCAATTCAATGTTTCATAATGAGCATTCAAACTTACCGCTAGTTCAACGCTTTCATTACTTAAGGTCATGCCTTGCAGGGCAGGCTAGTGATGTTATCAAATCTATTCCTACTACTGCAGAACACTTTCAATATGCTTATGATCTGTTGGTAAATCGGTATGAAAACAAGAGTGCTATAATCCAGTCACACATTCGCTCACTACTCGAGACACCCAAGGTGGTCTCACCGTCTTGTAGTGAACTGCAAAAGCTGCATCATCATGTCACATCTAACATCAATGCCCTCAAGTCCTTGCAGCAACCAGTCGAACAGTGGGATGCATGGTTGGTCACTCTTTTATGTAGTAAAATGGATAGTGCTACAGTAGGGGAGTGGTATCTACAGTATAAGAGTAAAGATCTGCCTTCCTACGTGGCTGTAGAACAATTTCTTGCTAACAGAATAACAGCCTATGAGGCAGGGGATATGAATTGTCTGTCAAGTGAACCAAGAAAAATGTCAACAAAAAGTTCAAATAACAAAACATATAAAAAAAAGGCATTGTTTGTAAAATCTAAAGAAAAAGGTTTTGGCAAATGTCCGTTATGTACTGAGCATCACAAATTATATGCTTGCAGTAAATTCAACAACATGAGTACAAATGATAGAAGGAACTTTGTGATGAAATCAAGGCTTTGTTTCAACTGTCTCAACTTTGGCCATCAAGTTTCTTCTTGTTATTTTCCTCCATGTCCTCGTTGTGGGGAAAAGCACAATTCAAAGCTTCATGAGGAACAAGCAAACACCAGTAATCAAGATGCTTCTATCGCCAATGATGATGACAGCCCTGAACCCCATGCAACAGCTATGTACACTGAAATATCAGCTCAGGAAACTGAAAATCTAAATGTTATTTTAGCCACTGCCATTGTCAATGTATGCGACACTTTTGGGCGCATGCATTCATGCCGAGCTGTCCTGGACTCTGGTTCTCAACTAAATTTCATTACAAATTCTTGTGCTAAAAGGCTTAACTTGTCTACTGCTTCGCATACACTTAACATTGTTGGAGTCTCTGCTATGGCATCAACAGCCAAACAACTCCAAGATACGATTATGACCTCACGTTTTGGTGATTTCAAGACAACTATCAAGTTCTACTCTCTGCAGACTATAGTCAGTGCCTTGCCTTCTCAGGTGCTCATTCGGGACAACTTGAAAATGCCTCATAACATACTCAACCAGTTGGCAGATCCAAACTTCCATAGTCCTGGTCCTATAGATGTGTTATTAGGTGCTGATATATTCTTTGATGTACTTTATGGTGAAAAGTTTCCATTATCAAATTTAGCTTGCTTGCATCGTACCAAGTTGGGATGGATAGTAACAGGCAAAATCTCAACTTTGTCAACTCCTCATACATTACCAAACCTCATGATACAGAATCAATCTGCATTATCGTTCTTCACGTCAAAGACCAATCAACGTATTCTTGAAGAGTTCAAAGCCGAAGAGCATTTTCAATCAACTTTTCGTCGGCATTGCAGTGGGAGATTCATTGTGAAGCTACCAATGGCACAAGATCCCAAGGTGCTTGGTGATTCATTAGACATGGCTCAAAAAAGATTTTTAAATCTAGAGAGACGACTTTAAAAAGATAAAGTACTCACTGAACAATACGATAAGTTCATTGCTGAATATATTGCCATGGGTCATATGGAATTATCATCACCGGACATTCATAAGCCTACGTATTACCTGCCACATCATCCAGTGTTTAAGACGGACAGCACCACTACAAAGATGCGCGTTGTATTTGATGGCTCTGCGGCATCCAAGTCAGGACTGTCACTGAATGACATTATGCTCAGGGGCCCGAAAATGCAACCAGATATTTTTAACATATTGTTGCGTTTTCGATTACATCGCATTGCTTTAACTGCTGATGTGGAAAAAATGTACCGACAGGTGCTAGTGTCCGATGAAGACTGTGATTTGCAGCGCATTGTATATCGTTCGCAACCTGAAGAACCACTAAGGCATTATAAACTCAAGACAGTCACATATGGAACAAAATCAGCCTCTTTCCTGGCTACACGCTGTCTCCATGAGCTTGGTGCGCTCATTGAAAACACACCCATAGGCAGAATCATATGTCAGGATTTCTATGTAGATGACCTGATAAGTGGGGGTGACACTGATGAAGAATGTTTTGATATCCATAAACAAGTTCACTCAATCCTTGGTACTGCTGGATTTCCGTTGCGTAAATGGTGTTCAAGTTCGTCAACCCTCCTTAACAGCCTTCCACATAATCAGAAGGATCCAAACTTCATGATAAATCTTACTGAAACTGAGGTGTTGAGCGCGTTGGGACTTCTTTGGCAACCATCTATAGATAGCTTTCGGTTTGCAATGAAAAACTGGAATGCTCCTCAACACATAAGTAAGCGCACACTCCTATCAGATATAAATAGTGTCTATGATCCGCTTGGACTATTATCATCAGTGTTGATTAAAGGCAAGATTTTTATCCAGCAAGTATGGAGTCTTAAAGTAGGTTGGGATGACATTTTATCAGAAGAGATAAGATCAAAATGGTTAAAATTTTATTCAAGTTTGGTTGCACTCAATGGATTGATTATACCAAGACTAGCATTACTACCTGAGTCAGACAGTTATGAACTTCATGGTTTCTGCGATGCATCCCAACATGCCTACGGTGCTTGCATTTACATTCGATCCAGTAAGCAAGATGGTGATGCTGAAGTTAAATTGTTTACGGCTAGATCTCGGGTTGCGCCAATTAAAACCACCACTATTCCCCGTCTGGAGTTGTGTGGCGCGTTATTGCTGTCAGAGTTAGTAAACGAGATTAAAGATGAATTTTCAAATATAAACATTAAATTTTCTACAGAAAACATACACATGTGGACAGATTCAACTATTGTTCTTGCATGGTTAAATAGTCTAAAACCACTTCAAGTTTATGTTGCCAACAGAGTTGCCCAAATCAATGAGCTCTCATGTGAAATTCAATGGCATCACACACCCACAGCTGATAATCCTGCAGACCTCATATCCAGAGGAGTTGATGTTGGGACTATGGTCTCATCCGAGTTATGGTGGCAAGGGCCAAAGTGGCTCAAGAAGGAAAGGTCCTGTTGGCCTGACACACCAATTTTGCCATCGGAGATACCTGAGATACGCAAAGTCAAATTAATCTTAGCAACCACGAATAAAGAACCTTTCTGGCTGTTGAAGAAGTATTCTACGTGGTCCAAATTGTTAAGAACAACAGCTTTAGTTCAACGTTTTGTTTCTAATTGCAAAGCCAAACAGTTAAACCATGAGCGGTGCAATGGGTTCATTTCTGTGGATGAAATGAATAAAGCCAGAAGTTTTTGGTTAATGCAAGCTCAGTCTGAGTCAATGTCAAACGAAATAGCAGATTTGCGTTCTGGTAAGATGGTCCATCGTGGAAGTTGTTTAAAAGCCTTAAACCCATTCATTGACGATCAGGGATTGGTCAGAGTAGGAGGACGGCTTGCTTATGCTCCTGGCCAATACAATACAAAGCATCCTATTGTTCTACCGTCAAAATCATTGATTACCAAGCTAATTTTTAATTATGAGCATATTCGGCTCATGCATGCAGGACCACAGGCATTGCTCGCCCACATAACACTGAACTATTGGCCAATCCGGGGAAGACAGATTGCAGCACAAATCGTCCGAAAATGTGTAACCTGTTTCCGAGCGAGCCCTCAATTTACTCCACCATTAATGGCGCCTCTGCCCAGCGTACGCGTTACTATTGCTCGACCATTTGCCAATAGTGGAGTAGATCTGTGTGGCCCAATATTCGTTCGCAGTGGGCTGAGAAAGGTATCACCGACAAAAAGTTATATTTGTGTGTTTATCTGCATGGTTACTCGTGCCATCCATTTAGAATTAGTGTCATCACTGTCTACTGAAGATTTTTTGGCTGCACTATCTCGTTTTATGTCACGGAGAGGTCAATGTACGGACCTTCACAGCGACAACGGCACAAACTTTGTAGGTGCAGACCGTACACTCAAAACATATTTCAAGGCAACTGTAAACAGCAATAAAGTACATGATTTTCTTACTATGCGAGAAATTAAGTGGCACTTTATACCACCTGCTTCCCCACACTTTGGAGGGTTGTGGGAGAGTGCAGTCAAGTCAGCTAAAAAGCATCTTCTTCGAGTGTCGAAGGGAGTGTTGCTAACATTTGATGAAACCAGAACTTTACTATGTCAAATTGAAGCTGCATTAAACTCTCGGCCTCTATCTCCACTTTCATTAGATCCCAACGACTTCAATGCACTCACACCAGGGCACTTCTTAATTGGTGGTCCACTCATGCTACCACCTGAGCCCGATGTATCATCCATACCACAGAACCGCTTAAAACGATATTCACTTATGAGGCAGCAAATGCAGCTCTTCTGGAAGCGGTGGTCACAAGAATATTTGCCTCAACTCCACCGAAGAGGTAAATGGACCAAGCCGAATCGAAATTTTTGTGTTGGTGATCTTGCGGTCTTGCGTGACGACAACATGCCACCCCTTAAATGGCCATTAGTCCGCGTAGCAGCAGTTCATCCTGGGGCTGATGGTGTTGTTAGGGCAGTGACCGTGCGAAATTCCACTGGGTCTGAATTTCGACGTCCAGCAATCAAGTTATCCCTACTACCCACCGAAAAGGATCACGATGATGAAGATTAGGGATTTAAAAAAAAATGTTTTTCATTATTATTGTTACTATTTTATAAATTATGTTGTTATTATTTAGTTGGGCTGTGTTAGCCACATCTCTTAAAGATGAGTTATTTTTCATTAGTCATATTAGTATTATTCAAGATTCATGTTTAAAGAATGCATACTCCTCTGTCAGCTTCCGATTATTTAATTTGTTTAGTATATGATATGTAAATTTTGAAAGATAGGTACTTTCAAAGGGGGGAGTATGTTCATGTTTAAGATTGTCATTTTCATTTTGTTTTCTGTCATCATTTTTTCTTCATGTGCATGCAACGGTGCGGTCCGCAGCTGCAGCCGTAATCAAATAAATTCTTATCATGTTTCCGTGTGCGAACGGCCAGCTGCGTGACCGTTATCAATTTATGTTTTCAAAAGTCATATTATTCGTTCAAAGTTTTTTCTCGTCAAGTCATGCTTTCAGTGTCACAAAGTTATTAGTTTTTTCATGTTTAATTGTTTTAGTGTGGTGACACTGAAAGCCCATTCGTACAGTTCTCGTTGCATTTTGTATGTCCGTTAATGTAAAACTCGTCCCTTTTTCACACGACCTCCGAGGTGCACGGTTGTTCTGTGTTCAGTCAGTCGTCAGTATTTTAATTCATTTTTTAAAATAGAATACATAGAGTCATAGACATTCAATTTCATTCTATACAATACATTCATCAATCATCATTCAGTTAATCATTTTGTGTACATCATCTGTGAATTGCCTTCTGTAAGTATCGTTCAGTCATTTGTTTTAGTTCTTTCATTAATATTATTCCCCAATTCAGGGCGTTCAAAGAGATACTTACAGAAGCACGTGAATTTTTGCCATTTGTGATTTGCATGTACACAGTGATTTATTCGTCTTGAGTTCTAAAGGTAATCAGCTGACGAGCTGCATATTATTATTTATTATATTAGTCATTCATATTCTAGTCAGAAACTTTGTATTATTATTATTTGTATTATTTGAATTATTGAATTATTGTATTATTGTTAAAAGCCAAGAGGCTACATATTATATTTATATCATACTTAATTATTAGAAACCTGCCTGGCAATTTATTATTTTATTTATTTAATTAAAAGAAAAACAAATTATTATTATCATTGCTCAATAAAAAATTACAGAACTGCCAACACACATTGTTTTTTTTCATTTTATGTTCTACAAGCATATATATATATGATTCAGTCGTGAAGGCACAACTTATTTTATATTAATAAGAGCTGACAGCGGCAACAGTAATATTATAAAATGTCAATTTACTTAATTTCCATATTATATATCACGTCTTTTAAAAATCATAACAAATTTTTTTTTTTTACAAGGATTTATAACGAAGTGTTTTTGGCATAGATATTAAAGAAATAAAACAAAATTAATATCTATGGTTTTTGGTGTGATATCAGCTATTTTTTTAATGAAAGAAGTCGCGATTGTATTTGACTGTATATAATAATAATAATCCATAATACCTACCATATGCATCGTTGGCCTCCTGTTGTTATAATATCTCTTTTTCTATTTTAGTTTTTTTTTCTAAAACTAGAATATAAATATTATATCGTTACATCTAACCCATATTTTATTATTATGTTTAATAACTGATGTGAAATGGGCTTGAGACTTGAGAGTCATAGATGGACCATAATGGCAAATCACAGAATTAAGAGCATATGATTATCCATCGACCTTAATTGTTGCCACGGGTACTGAATTAATCACCAGATTGCCTATTTAATTTTGTTATTGTTCCGAGTTTTCAGCATAATAATATGATACCGTCGAGCTGGATCACGAATTCACTAAACAATCATAAAATACCTAGTTATTCTAGGTTTTTTTTTATGTAATTTTGTCCAAAGTTGAACTTAAAATGACTATAAAAATAAACTGTGCTTATGTATTTTTTGGATTTTTTGGTAACAGAATTAACTACTTACGTGGAATCTTGTTTTAAATTTTCAATCCTTAGATATAAAAGTTGAACATTTTATACATTTTTAACTACAAAATAATTATTCAATTTTAAATTTGATAACTTTTGTCAAAATTCGATCTTTAAATGCTTATAAAAAAAAATTGTGCCAATGTATTTTTAATATTTTTTAACTGATATTGTAACAATATATCAGGAGCCTTGTATTAAATTTCTACACTTTTTGGCCCAACAGATAAAACTTTATTGATATTTATAGAATAAAAAACTAAAAAAATTGAATACTGAAAATACCTAAAAAGTAAACAGCTCAAAAAGAGTAGAAATATTTTCAAAATTGTACAGTGTATAGAAAATGCTAATATAAACATTCAGTGAAATTGTCATATGTCTACAGTTATTCGTTTTTGAATTACAACAAAATAAGGAAATCGCTACATGAGAAATCGAGTGAATATCCAATGTTGTAAAAATTTGAATTTCAAACGCTCATAAAAATTTAATTTGACTTTCTTATAGACATTTTTGTTTTGATAAAGGTAGATAATCTTATAAGGAATCTTGTATTACATTTTCAAATCTTATATTTAAAAAGAAAAATTTTTACGAATTCTTAACTCAAAATAATTTGCTAATTTTCGTGATTTTTCCATATTTTGTCAATTTTTGAACTTTAAATGCATATAAAAAAAAATTTTGACTAATGATTTTTAATATTTTTCATCTGCCTTTGAAACAATATACTAGGAGCCTTCTATGAAATTTTCAAGCTTTCGCAACCAACAAATAAAATTTTATTGATAATTTTAGAAAAAAAACTAAAAACAAATGGAAAATGAAAATGTCCCTAAACAGTTCAAAATATTTTGAAAATGTTATCGTGTATAGAAAATGCAAATATAATCAACCAGTGAAAATTTCATGTATATACTCATTTGTTTTAAAGTTACACCAAAAACCAAAATCGATTTTTTAGAAAACCGATTTTGCGTAAAAATTCCCGTTTTTCCTTAATTTTTATGGTTTTTTCCCGGCGCTTGTGAAAACTACTGGCAAATTTTTACTTTTGAACCCCACAAAGTACCAACTAGATTCACTTTCCTATCAGAAAAGATATACTGTTGAAGAAAATCCAAGCACTTTTACTGTTCTAAAACGTGATGACAGACACAAAAATAAAAATAATAAATAAAAAAAAACACACATCATTGTAAAATCAATACATTCATCGTTTCACTCAGAATCTAAAAAAAATATAAAAACACACATCATTGTTAAATCAATACATTCATCGTTCCACTCAGAATCTAAAAATGTTATATTGAAAATACCTCTAGAATAATTAAACTTAAAGTTATTTATAATAGAATTTCAAAACTGCCCCAAGTTGGCATGGTTGACGGTACATTAGTACCTACATAGTTATCATCATCGGTCACAATAATTTAATAATTATTACTATATATTTTGTTTGTTACATTCGATACCAGTGGTGCTATAACTTATAAGAATAACAGTTTTATAAATAATTAGAAATATAATAGGATAATAAGTACATTATTTAAAACTAAATTTATTTTCTTTCCTAATAAGTTTAGAACTTTATATAATATTAAAATAGTTCATAACGAACCACATATTTTTGTTTGTCACATTCCCTTTAAAATTTATCAAAATTAAAGATTGAATTTTTTTTTTTTTTTGTTTAGAGGGTACCAGACACCGTGGACACCCCCCAAAATACGCCACTTTAATACAAGGGTATGTATATTGTGTTATAAATATTATCGTATATTTATATTGCTATTAACAATTACTATAGTAATTTATTTTACAGTTAGTAATGTCACTGATGTGGTAGTTATAAATTATAAATAGGCAATATCTTTAATTTTAAGATTAATCTAATGTCATTGAGTATAGTAAAGTATAGTAATATACGTAGCAGTGGCGTATTTAGTGTTTTATTTTTTAGGGGGGAGCAAAAGTACAAAGTTGAAAGTATATATATTAAATATAATCAAATTCAAAATAATTTTGACAAATTTTGTGGATATAAGATCAACTTTTTTTAAATTTCAGTAATAACAACTTATTCGAGGAACCTTGTATAGTTATTATATCTTTGCAGAACACGGCGACGGTAATATGTTACATAATATCGAGTACCTTTCAATTTTAATTTATTTAATAATGCAATTTGAAATAGGTACGATTAATGTTAATATTAATACCTACCTAATATTTACATCATTTTGAAGTATGTATCAATATACTAAGTATATGAATGTAATATGTATGATTCACTATATAGATATACTATATCTGCTTTAGGTGGCGTGTTGAACTGGTGAACAGTAATTTCATAGATAATTGCCTCTGATATTTTTCTTAAATAGAGGGGTTGGTGGTAGTAAATGTAATATGATATAGGTACTCAATAGATAGTCAATAACGATCTGAAATATAATTGGTTATATTATATTAATACATTACTATTCGTTAGGACTTGGGATATTTATATTTTGTAACTTGCCTCTGGAAAATTCTTAGTTCACCACGCCACTGAGTCTGCGTTGATGGCTGAACCATAAATATTAAATAGGCCATATAGCATTCAGATATCTGAACTAGAGGTGTCAATGGAACAAGTGATTTTTGCACCTCTGTTTCCGTGACACGGATGCACGGATATATATTTTGAATAAACACGAAATATATTATAATATATTGTGAATTTACAAAATACGTGAATTCCGTGATTTATATTTACGTGAACAGTGATTCGTATTATTTTTAAATTTTTTATCGGTCTTAAAATTGACTATAATATAAGTTGGATTTGATAGACATTACGTATTCTCGCATATTTAGTCGATACCTAGTACATAATACATATACTCATTTTTAAATACACGAAATTCACGTGAATTACGTGAACTACGGATTACACGGTTTTCATCGCGACATTTTTAATTTCACGTGTAATCCGTGTACACGGGTTATAAGAGCTCTAATCTCTGAACGGTCCCTTGT